TTAATAATATGCATTTCCTCGAGAAGAAGCAAGCCAGCAAAACAACAACCTTTTTGAGGACCACACTTGGTTTGGGTTGAAGTGAGTCTGGAGCCAGTTACCCACCACTCCTCCCTCCACTGGAGCTGAACCACAGCAGAAATTCTCCAATTCATTTTGAGCCATCTCTGCTCTGGGGATAATCCTTGAACAACTTTAAACTGATATCCAACTAGCTGTCTTTGAAACACAGTCCTCCTTGTCCATGGCTGCTTCAGCCAGACTGTTTAAACAGATCTATCAGGGGACAAACATCTTAGCCGAGCACAGGGCTTTTGCTGAAGACGTTACATCTTAAGTTATCCTATACTTTCTTTCTCCATCCAGCAAACCCTCTTGCGTGACCTCCCACCTAAGCCAAAAGAGCAGTGCTCTACTCTACAGGCCATTCAAGCTATACACAGTCATTTTAAGCCAGTATTAAGCAATTCAGGTATCTTTATTTAGCTTCTAAGACATGGACCCACAGAGTTTAAATACTGACCAGATCTAGTCCACTTCTTCCTAGAAAAGGTACAGATCAGAGCTAAGCACTGAACGACTTTTGTCTGCCCCTCACTTATTTTTTTGCTACTCTGGTACTACTGCGCCCATAAACTTCCTCAATAGTGCCTTCTAAACATGGGCCTGTAAATATAAGGTACCAGAGAAGAAAACTATCAAACTCGCAGCCAGAGAAGCTTTAAAGTGAGCGCCATTTCCTTTCTTGCCCCACAACAGCACTGTTGCTAGAAACAAGAGGTATGCTGGGAGACTGGAACAGTCTGAGTCATGAAAGAGAACAGTGACCTCAGCGTTGCTGCTGAATGCCACCCTTGCCACAGTGACAACCGGGCTCCTGGAAGTCTCAGCACAGTTTGATGGATGTACGTGCGCTTCACTTCATCTCCAAAACTGTTGCTTAAAACTGGTTAGTGCTGTTAAGTAGTTTTTCCTCCACAAATGTGTGCCTTTGCAAGAGGTAATAACATCTTTTTCCTCTTCGTAACAGAGGATCGTATTTCCAAAGCCCATTATCAGGCTTCTGGCTGATGGGGGTTACTCAAGAGAAAACTACCTTAGCCATCCAGGTCTTTCAGCCAATAGGCACAGAGTTCCTACCTTGTGTAGCCCAGAAAATGCTGACAGGTGCAGAAGTCGCATCTTTGCTCTTTACCCAGCTGTTGTTGCGGTGCCTACTCCATGCAGAGATGACACAGAAATAATCCCCTCTGTCACTTTCTGAAGTCCACTGGATTCGTAAACTGAAGGTGTCAACAGCTTTCTTGGAGAAGATTATTTCCCCGTTCTGAGCCCGCTCTCTGCTCCTGTCCCCAAGCTGTAGAGTCCAGTCTGCATCCATCGTGGCCAGGAGTTCCTCTGTAACCACATCATCACTGCGTAAGCGCTGCCTGTAGTACCAGGAAACTGTGAAGCGGATGTTTGCTTCTGAATCCTGTGCATTTGTGACCCGGCATTCAAGCTCAGTGGGGTCATCTGAGAACTTTGGGGTTCTAGAAGCATTCAGAAATACCTCATAATCTGGCTCTGCATAGGAAGAAACGCAGAAGAAAGAGGTTAGCAGTTACAAAGAAGGAGTAGCAGAAGTTAACTTAAAAAAAAGATAATAAAAATACATAAAAGAATGCTGCTACCATCCAGCCTGTAACAGCATCTGAGCTAAAAAACCAAGTGCCAGAACATATGTTTTTCTGGCAAGACCAGCCAACTGGGAACTTCGACTCAAGCTCTCAGACCTGTACCAGTCTGAAGCAAGTCCCACTAGGCCTGCATTTCCAAACAAGATCTTTTATTTTTTCTATCTAGTCAGAGCATTTCAGAAAAGTCAGGACAAAGTGATCTTACTGAGCTAAATCACTCCCTTCTCTAGGCCTGGCTCCAAGGACCCACGATACGGGTTCATTTTCAGACATCCAGTTATCTTCTGCACCTGTCCAAATGCCCAAGGCAGCCTGCATCCACAGAAGACCAGTTATTCTCTAGCTTCGGACTGACAAGAGACATCCCATTCCCCATTCTCTCTCCAGGATAAGAGACTATCTCCCATTCTGAAACGCCTTCTTTTCCACGCTTATCCTATCCTCTCTCTATCACACACATTAAGAACTTAAAAACAACAAAAAAAAAAAAAGCAGGGGGCATCAATGCCATCATTGGCATTAGCAAGAAGCAGCACTAACAGCAGTGCACAGTAAATTTCAGCAGGCATCATAATAAATGCAAAGTTGGTTAACAGTCAAAGATGTGTATATCAGAAGAGCCTTACACTCTGAAAGGGAAGTACATGCCATACTTGAGGTTAGAGTCCCTCAAGCTTGAAAAGGAGTGCCTGAAACTCATGGGTTAAAGAAATGGGCTGTTGTATTTAAAGCTGAAATAGCTCATTGTCCAAAACCCAAAAGTGATAAGGCAGCCGCGTGACATTTTTTTCCTCAGACTACAGAGATAGTAAAGGAAAAAGATTATGGCAAGAATCTCTCAGCACAAAGGAAATACATGTTTATTTACTAGTGTTAACATTTTCTTCTGTCTTGCTGTTTATTATTATTTGGGACAAAATAAAAAGACCATTCTTGCAACTCTTTTGCTAATACTCATCACATGGATTTTGTTATAAACGTATTCTGTGCTCTGTATTTAATTCTTGCTTTATGTTTTATTTGGCATTTTGCCCTCACAGAAACAATTAACTGAAACTATAATTGGAACACAGAAGGCAACCCAAGGCTAAAACTAAGGCTCAGCTCACCAATGAGCTGAGATAATAAAACATCTTAATAGAACTGCTGCGCTAACATGTGTGCACACGTGCACTTTTGGTCTTCACAGATGCATAGGATAAAAACAATTCTATTTAACCCGAGTCCACAGTACCTACCATCAATGATTATAAGGGCAGATTTTTGCAGAAATCTCCATATGGGTTTAAAAAAAAAAAAAAAAAGCAGCACACAATTCCTCTTCTGCAGCCAAGTCATAAATTAATAATAGAGGCCGTAACCCATTTTTGATATAAGTAAATCCCCGCAGATCCTACAGCTACACCACTCTTCATGTCTCATTCACAAAAGACAACAGTCTTCTCCAGGGCCTCGTGACATATTGCTAAGACTCTGCAGTTTTCTCCTCATTCCTCCTTCCTCTCACCCCTCAAAAAGCAAAAATGTTCAAGACTAATAAATATTTTCACAGCCACAACGACTATGAAAGCAGAAACTCTTCTCAGGATGAGAACACGAGGAAAGAGCTGAAAGAAACTGGAGTTCTTAGCTAATCACTTAAGGTTTGGGGGGGTTTTTTGTTTGTTTTTCTTTTCTTTTCTTTTTCTGAGGGGAGAGGAAGAACCACTAAGAGAATGAGTTTTGACTTTGACAGCACCACTCTGGTTATGCGCTTCACTGTGACAGACACTCAGAAGTGTCTGTATTTAGAAAGAATAAAAGACTGGCTGGATAAACCTCATTCCTCCACTCTGTCAGCTGTCAAAGAACAGCCTCACTGACAGTTCAATGACTTAATACCACAGTAGCTCTTAACTTCCATTAAGGAGGAGGGAATTAGTGAATTCTAGATGCAGCGGAGAACCTCAAACGCTGAAAAATTCTTCCACTTTCCCTTGCTCTAGCTAGCAAGTTTCTGTTGAAGAGATTTTGTCTTCTCTTATCCTCAAATAAGTCCCAATTGTAACAGAAAGAGTAAGGAATATTCCAGTGATACAAGAGTGTATAAGTGTGCACCTGTACATGTATGAATGTGTGTGCATATGCATGCTTTTGGGGGGAGGGGGGCTTAAAAAAGGGAATGTGTAATTGGAATGGCTGAATGAGGACTGGAAATGAGAGAGAGTTATCACTTGTGCACTTCTTCTAGCACATATTACAGGTATACTTGAAATCGTCACGGCTCTTACTGCTCTTTACTTGGTCTCTTCACAATGCTAAATGCACAAATTAGTCATTGTCACTGGGATTTAACCTGGTGACAGAGCCATTTGTCTTTGACAAACAGGCTTCGGAGTTGGCTTTCTATACACTGGCTGCTTTCAATACTTTGACCTTTGAGGAAACCTGCCTCTGTAACTGGACAGAACCATTGCTCTCTGTTTAGATGAGGCTCTGACATCAAGGTGCATGAAAGGATTTAGGTCAAGGTACTCACATCCAGTCAATGCTGGGGACAAGCAGAGAGCACCACATCTCCCCCTGTTCTCCTCTGGTTCATTCCTAGGTTAATTCATGCTTCCAATACAAG